CCGTGTCAGCGGCCGCAGCGCGGATTGGGGGCGGGCGGCCCCGCCGTGGGGCTCCACCTGGAATCGCCTTGCTTTCACGGGCAGTGTCTGTCACCGCAGAAGCACTTGCTGTTTTTCGGAAGGATTTTTCCCAAAATAAGTTATTTTAGCTTCAGCTTCCAAGTAACTGTTTCCCAAGGACTCTCCCACAGGGAACACGAACTGGCTGCTGGAGACGTGCGCTTACCTCGCTCTTAATGTTAAGCCGAGTTGCTGGTCAAACCGGACCAGTTCTGACCACCTGCACGAGTGTAATGTAGAACCTAACACCGTTCTGGCCAGGTGAACCGTGAGCGACACCGACCCAGGAGAACAGATCCCGCCAGGACTGTTACGGTTCCGGCCACTTTTAGCCAAACAGGCTGCAAGGGGATAAACTCACACGGAACCTATCCTGGTCACGCTGTTTGTGCTATTAACCATCACTCACGCTCTGAGCCACTCAAAGCAAAAGCCTCTTCTCATGATCTTATGGACAAATTAACTGTCCACATATTGGGTTTGTGTAGCAGGCTCCAGGGGTGGGGGGAAGGCGTTTTTAACGTCTGTTTTGTGCCTCATTAACTACTCTGATTTACTAGCAACAAATGAAATTTATTTTTCTTCCCGCAGTCAAGTCTCACCCGTGACCATAACGGGTGAGTGAGCCCTCCTTGTCTCAACCCACAAGCCTTTCCTGACATTTTCTACTCCCCATCCCACTGAGGAGGAAGGGAGAGGAGTAAGTGAGCAGCTGCATGGCGCCAAGTTGCCAGCTTGGCCTAAACCACAACAGTACAACAGTCAGTGGTATGAAAATGTCAAATTGTTAATTTAGTTTTTGGTAGAAAAAAGGTCCCCAGAAAAAAATCCTGCCCCAGGTCATACATCTTTGGCCATTACTGAAGTTACCAAGACAGATTTGTACAGAAAAATACAAAGCCAAGCCCAGACATTGGCAATTTTCTTCTGTGGCACAAGGCTTCTCCCCTCACTACATTCAAGTTAAACCAATTTGGAACGTATTACTGGTTTGAAGCAACAGGTCTAGCCCATGCCTTGCTAAATCACATCACGTTCATAAAGAGCTCAGGTTACCAGGAAGCGTGCTTACCCTTACATTATTCTTTTCAAAATTCTTTATTTTTAATGATGGCAACGATCTCTCACAAGCAACAGTAGCGAGGCACCACTGCATGCTTTCAAGCGTCTTCTAAGCAAACCTTTCATAGTTTCTTGCTTACTCAGAACCATGTTTCATGTTGAAAGAGGCAAAGAACTGAGAAATCAAGACAAGCCCTTACCTATGAACAAGAGTGTTCTTCAAACCACGAATTAGATGCCGTGCAATCGTTTTCACTCGAGGTGTGAGAATTGCTTGAGAAACATGAAAAGTCCCATAACGACTTCGCTCCTCAAGAGTGGTCTCCAGGAACTGTAACAGTTTGTGCACGTTGGTTGTATTGGCCCACGGTGCCGGCATCTTATTCCCTGGCCACAGGAAGGGGAACTCCCGATACAAAGGGTAGTGGTAGAATATGAGAACCTAACAGGACAAAGAAAAGGGAGAAAACCCCAAAAATTCACAACTAAGTTACTTATGTTTCAACAGGATGTCACATTGGTTTATGGTTATGCAGTAGTGCTGCAGCTAGCATAGCAGTGAAAAGAGGACCCAGCAAAAAGAAGGTGCTCCCGAGTCATGAGTGTCAGTAAATTCGGTGCACTATCGCCAAGAAAGGGGATGAAGATCACTTTGGTTAGCTAAGAGGGCAGCACTGTTTCAGACTTTAAGGATCATCAGTTGCAAATGAAAACATTGCCATGAATATACAGAAATGTCATTCCAAAAATTCAGCTCAAAAGCATTTCAAAGCACTGTCAGAGAAGATTACATCTGTACATGACGTTAAGGATCCGCGCAGCCTCGTCACCTTCTGCCTAACCCTAAGTGGGCCAAGTGAACTGGGCCAAGTGGCACGATGGCATTCCACTGGCACTTACTGCATGAGATGCCAAAGTCAGGCTTGCCGTCAGCTAAGTCTTCTCTAAATCAAAACTCTCTATTTTATGCCTTGTAAGGTGGTTATCCAGAGGAGGACAACAAAGACTGAATGTTTTCATTAACACCCAAACTTAAAAATGATTCATTTGGGACCCTAGCATTGACATCATCAGTTCAGCTCAAAGCCTCAGGTATTTTATGGTTTAAGCATTATGTGCTGTTGTCAAAACCCTATTCTGCTTTGTGTGTATGCATGGGAGCAGTCACCACAAAGAGGCATTTACTCTTGCCACTGTAGATCTGGATGTCTGCAAAGGAGCTAAGAAATTCCATACCGTACTTCAGTCACGTTAAAGCATTTAGGCTTAGCCCTGGCCATAAAGACGACAGCAAGTCAGCACAACATGCTCGTCCAGGAGAGAAGACCATTTATAAGGAGCACAAGGCCCTAAGGATACTATCATTTAATTACAACACATTTGGGAGCAGGATAGTCTAGACACACCACGGGTGGAGGGGCCACACAGATGCACACACATGGAAGCAAACACGCACACTATGAAAAGGAGACCCTGGCAGACTTGAGATGGACTGCCAGCAGCATCCTTGGCCCAACACCTCTGAGTGGGAACCACACCCAGCTTCTCCACTCAGATTTTAACCTTTTGGGTTTGAGAAAACATTACACATCCTTTCCATACCTGGTGTTTCTTCTCCCACATGTACTGTAATGTCACATATTCTACACATTCAACGCAACAAAGTTTGGATCCAAATGCTGAACGGATCCTGTTGATCAAGAAGAAGTGATGGCTGTCATCCATGGCGTAGAAGTGATTGAAATCCAAGAAGATTACTTCCTTGGGATGCTGCTCAAGAAAGGTGTTGATCTCCTTCAGCCCATCCCATACTTTGATGCCAAACAAGCCATGTATGAAGTAAGTCTCTTGTCCTATTTCCCCAGGTTTGGAAGACACACGAAGATCAAAGTAGCGGATCCCACCTTCCAACTGCTCTTTGAAAGTCAGATTTTGAGTCACCGACCATTTCTTCATGATCTTTTTAACCAAAGAAATTCTGGCCAAACGTTTGATGGCTGTGGCTTGGTCTGGTCCCACAGGAGATTTCTCATCAACCCAGTAGCTGAAAGAATCATGTGACCCTAGGAACAAAAGCCAAGAATATTTTAACTTCAGAAAACTGATTCCCCCCAACACACATATAGTGGCATGCCCTGTAAACTGAAATCTACATGCATGGCAGGGTTGCAGAAGAGTAATGCTCAAGTGCAAGTCTGAAAGACTACCCTTTACACCTTAATTTTCCCTACCTGTACAACAAGGGCTATGCTTAAGGTTCTTGGTTTGAACTATTTTCCTTGTGTGGGCTCCCGAATTCAATGCACTCCCAAAGTCATGAACAGCAGCCAGACTCAACTGGTAAGGGGAAACTTCATTCTCACCTTCCTTCATTTGCTATCAATCTACCTCCAAAGTTTCCCCAGAGCCTAGCACATCACTGGTTTGTGATGAGACTCCAGCTACACTGAGGCTTTATTTTCATTCTACCTGGTAAATCCAATCGTGACCTAATGCACCAGAATTCTTGGAACAGATATCTTTCTTCATGTGATGGACAGTGGGATTTGCACATGCATGGGCCTTACCAGCACATCTTGCTTTAGCCTCAAGATGGTAAATAAATGATTAGTGGTTTGAATGGTGGGCAATGACTGGCTGAACTGAAAGGTGGAACAACTGAGCACACCACCAGTTACTGTGGGGTTAGGGAACCAGCTCACATTCACCTAGTTCATGAACATGTCTTTTAACCTGGCAGTGGCCTCTGAGTGACCACAAGTATGATGAACACAAAATTCACCTAAGACAACAGCCAATAATCAAAATCACCAGTTCCTACCAAAATAATACGTGTCTAACAAAGCTCCTGTAACACAACCTGTACCTTGGCACAGAAACTGCATCTCTAGTATAAAATTTGTGCTTACTACAAAAAACCTCCAACTGAAAATTCAGCAGTAAATGGAAACAAAACTAAGAAATAACAGAACTCTTTCAAAATAACAGCCCCAGAGGCAACTAAATCTCCCTAGATGAGCCAAGTCAGTAACAGAACGAAGATTAACAGGGCAGTGTATCTCAGTTTATACTGTTCCAGAGCAGCATAAAGCAAAGGTGGGCAGTACCGACCACAGACTGAGGTTTGCCAAGGATTTCTAACCCTTTACACCTGGCACCAGCATTCTGGAAAACAAGCTGCAGCCACTCCAGGCATCACTTTTCCATGAAGCCCCAGCCAGGAAAACCACCACAGGAGCTCTACCAGCCCTGCTTCTCTTTTTAGTTCAGGCCAGCAGATGAGAATTTCCCCACTGAGCCAAACATCACCCACTTTCAGCGGGCCCACTTTGCCAAGGTATAGGGAAAGCATTTTCATCCCCAGCCACCAAAAGCAGGTGCTTTTCCAGGTGCCCCAGAGGTACAGCAACCCTGCAGCATGCTGCCAGAACCCACATTTTCCCTTCCTGCATGCCCCTGGGTTCCTGTCCCTGCCTCTGGCACTGTGCTTTGCTAGAATTTCCCCCTCAACCTCAGTCTGCAACTCTTAAAAAAAAAAGAAAACTGAATTTGCCATTTCCCATTTTAAGACAACACTGGAGGCATCCACAGCCTCCTTCACCCCAAACTTTTGTGTACCAGTGCTCACCTGAAGAGTGATACATGTCCTGTGATGCAAGGTCAGAGCTATGAACAAGATTATGATCTCAATGGGATTATCTTGTCAGGATTTCTTAATCCAGACACAGGTACAGACTGTGCGCAAATCAAACATCAGTTCGCAGCCACCTGAAACGCACTCGCTCTCCTTGAACTCCAGCTAGTTCACAAGTATCAAAAACAAACTGTGAGGGTTACTTTACAGGCTTTACAAATGAACACCAAAAACCTAATTCTGATCAGCTCCTCAGGAATTCTTCACAGTGTTTGTAAAAGCATGCCTCTTACGTGGCTTTCCGTTCTGTCTTTAGAAACAAGTGACAAGTAACAAAAAAGCTGTTTTCAAAAGCTGTCAGCTTATGAAGCGACCTGCCACCGTAAACTACATCAGAAAGTAGCTGTCAGTTTTAGATGACATAGGTTTCTTCCCCACCTCCAAACCCCAAACAAGACAGAGGATCAAACATCTAGTGAAGACGTTTCAGATGAGGCCTGGCTCACAATGCAAGCTGCAGCTCACGGGTGATAGAGCTTCATACACCTCCCCGTGCAGCAGAATGAGCCTTGTGAGCTCCTACAACATTTGGAAAGGAGATTTCAATCACAAGGAGCTTCTCTTCTGTCTCAGAATAAATCTCTTTGCACAACAAAGTCACACGGGTTTTTGTTTTCCCTTGTGTGGGCGTTTCCTTGTTTGGTTTAAGTTTCCACTTCTATCCTTTTTAATTTCTTCCTTTATTTAGGTCACTGCAAAAAGTGGTTTAACACGCCACAATGAGGCCATAAGAAACATTTTTTTTGTTTTAACTAAGGCTCTGCAGCAGCCTCTGGAGAGCCCTGTACAGAGTCACTCACTCACACCATTATGCGTCCTCAGACAGCATCACTGGTAAATCTCACTGACAAAGGATTGACAATTTTATCTGGCCAGCTATATTGTTGCCCACTCAGAGTTGCCCATGCACATCTGAGCCAAGAAACAGTTTGTTCACTTAAGTCTGATCACATACTTTACAGCTACAGGTCTTCCCTTGCAGATTGCCACATAAGGCACATTTAAGGATATAAGAGCAAATTTTCCCTTGTACTATCACAAACCAAATCCTATTTATAGCTCTAGAGAACAACAAGAAAGAAAACAAGCCACATACACATTGCCACTTTTCAAACACATACTTAAGAAGTGTGCTCCTCAACAGGGCAGCTATTAAGGCAATTTTATGTGGCATGCCTTTATAGTTAGATAAGACCCTTAAAACTCCTGCCCTGTGGCTCTGCTAATAAGCCTAGGAAACTGGACTTGTAAATTAGAAGGTAGTCAACATGTATACTAGATATATCAAGAACAGGAGTCGTAGGTTCTAAAAAACAAGCTCTCCTCTTCACAGTTGGTAGAGGACAGGGGACCATCACCAATAATGAGGTTGGAAGGACACAGCAGAAGTTAAATCAGATTTCCAGTGGCCATTTACAGAAGGCCAGCCACTAAGTGTCAGAACTGCCTAGGCCAAACCTGGTCAAGACATTAAGAGAGAAAAACTGAGAACCTGAAGCAACAGCACTCGATACTTATGGGGCTGAGAGGTAAGAGCTAGGTGAGGATCCACGTCATCTACTAGGCCCTTTAATTTAAGATCACTGTGTTATGTTACCAGCTCAGACACTGGTTTTTAACATAGCTTAGCTGTGATGCTAAACTACATGCTAAGCTGACTGCATCACGATGTCAGAATAATCTCTGCTCTCCTTTGCTCTACCTCTGAACTCCATGAAAGGCATAGCCACACTGTAGCCATGGCATGAGCCAGGCTGCTCGCTGATCCAGCATAATTCCTTTTTGAAACAAGCATAACCTAAACCAACCCTATCTTGTAGAACTTCAGAGTTAATGGCCAGAACTTACACTAGAAGCAGACCAGCCCCTGCTTATTAGCAGAATGGTATTAGAGGTGCCGACTGCATCATAATTAAGGTCTAACACCAGGATGCATGAAGATATTTGAATGTTGTAGCACTGTACAGTAGCAGCAAAGGGACTGGTAGTGGCTCAAATAGGGCAAGCACCTCAAAACTCTCAGTGACATAAACAGAGAAGTCTTCTCAATGTATAAGAAATCCTTTACAGCTGCATTTTCCTCCCACACCAAATAATGTGCATCTCTCCAAATGATACTGATCACTTTCTCAGGAAAGTTAAAAAAGCTCAAGAAGTCTCATCAGCAAAATATTTCACTTGATATGACATCTTAAAAATAAGTAACACCTTGTACTGACTCAATAAATCCATTCCTTAAACTTGTTCATTGCGAACAAAGCAACTAACAAGCCCAGGTATTTAACTTTCATCACAGAGACTGAGACATCAAAAGGCACAGGCAAGTCAAGAAACTCAGTCTTCATTGTCCCTCCGGCAAACGGAGGCCAGAACCCCAGTCTGAACCACCTCAAGGGCACGTTCTCACACTAGTGGCACAGTTCTCGAGTCACTGCACATGAGACCAGGTCATCATTCAGTTTGCAAACCTTACTGAGCTGCTCCAGTGGCACAGCACCAACCTGGCCCTCAGCCCTTCCCAAAACCACGTGAGGCACAGGCAATAATACAAAGAAATTATGATTCGCCAATTGCTCCCAATAGGCCGAAGATGCATAGCACGAAGCAGCAAGCATTAAGTTTAAGCATGAAAGTCTGCACATTCAAAGAAAAAACCCTATTAGGGGACCCCTAATCAGCTGGCAGCTCTTCCAGAGTAACAGGCATTGGCTGCTCTATTTTGGTTTAATTTCTTTCACCTAATAAAGATTGGAATCTTCAAGGAAAGCAGTCACATCCCATTAGATGCCCAGCTATTTAGCCATCAAAGGCTGATAGGTTACAATAGTATTAAAGAGCTATCTTCCAGGCACCAGATTGTTCAAATGATGGACAGTCCTCCTTATTTTATCCCAGCAAGTGCAACTGCGCATTAATTTTTATTAATGTCTTCAAACCCCTTTTTAGTCTCCTTACACTAATTTCTGAAGTTAATTGTATGTTAAATAGATGGCTTCTCGATTCAATTTGTATGTTAAGTAGAATGTACTCACCGTTTGGGGTGACTTTTTTGGTTGAAGCCTTTGTGCTAATTGTTAGAAAGCAGCCTTTTATCATCACATCTGCAGCAAAGCCTAACTTTCTACTGTGTCTATTTGTCATGCTACTTAGTCTCAAAGAGTCAAATTAACCCATGTTGTAGCTCAAACAAATGACACTAATCAACAGAAGGTTATTAAGCCTTGAATTTCAACAATTACTAGCTATATCGCTTCACATTATCTTTTCTTTTCACTTGAGTACTTTCTCCCTATACAGTTGCAGCACAGGGAAGGGAATCAGCATCATCTCTCCAACCCCGGTATCCTTTTACAAGCCTGTAAATTCACC